GAATGGTTCATTTGCATATTCTTGTATGCACTTAGTCACACTAGTAGTGCACCCATCATTTCGTGTCCCATTGTTTCCACTTAAAGTTGCACTTGCAGACAGTTTGCGTGTTCCTCAGCCTTGTCACTTTAAATGACAGTATGGTTTCCTCATGTTGTGTTGCTCTGTATGTTTTTAAACTATTCGTTGTCCTTTATTTATGTAAACATTCTGTTTGTTTTTTAGTTATCTTTCATTTTAGCGAGGGGAAACAAGCAGGAAATAAAGCACTTTGGTTTTTGCTACCTTGCTTTCAAACAGCTCTGGGTATATGACAACAGGTCACATGAAACTAGGCACAAAAAGAATCACAGTCCGGGATGATTGACTCCGTCTGCATCTCTGTCTCTGTCTCTGTCCCTGTCCCTGTCTCTCTCTCTCTGTCTCTCTCTCTCCTGTCCTCCCCACCCTTTCTTGCCACCACAAGGTAAGCTACTTCACTCCACCCACCCTTCTGCCAAGATGTTCTGCCCAGAAACCGCGGAGCCGGTCCATCATGGACTGAATATGCCTTCCCTCCTTGAAGCTGTTTTTCCTCATGTATTGTGTCACAGTATTGAAAATCTGACTGACACACAGTTGACCTTATTTAAATTGTGAACAGAAATAATTTAATATGCCTTTATATTTTTCTGGCTTTTCTGGTACTCTGCAATGCCGTCATCATCTGTTCTAATCTTTAATTTGGAGAACATGGTCACTACTTTTATTTAACTATTGCTTATGGACCTTCCTTTGCAATAATTTCATTTTTCTTTTCTTTTACCATCTAGATCCAGGCTACTGGCATTTAAGTGTAGATTGGTCTTCTCATTTTACAGACAGATGTCTCCCTGGCCCGTGTCCTGCCCCTCACTTGCACAAAGCTGTCACTACTCCACTGTCTCTTTTCAGCCTCCCAGTGTGCTCAGCCTGTGCTCCCCTCGCTCACTGCCCTGCCTTCCTCCAGGCTGCTGCTGAGCACTGATCTCCTGTCTAGGGATGGCTTTCAGGTCTCTCTTTGGCCTGTCCAGCCATAGCGTTGCACAGCTGACCCCTCTCTCTTCAGAATGCAAATTTCGGAGGCAAACCTCCCTGTAGGGTTTCCTTGCACCCCTTTAGCTTCTCATCTTGCTCTGCCCTCGCTGAACAAAGGCTTTCCAGGCTCATCTCTTCCCCTCCCTCACCTCTTCAGCTGCCCTCCGCCCCTCCCCTTCCCTTCCTCTTCTCCTCCTCTCCTTCTCCTGTGACTTTCCCTTAGGCAGGATGGATCTGGCCTACCATTTTTATCCCGCTGTCTAGACCCTGTTCTGTGCCTTTCGCTGCATTTCCACCGGGTCCCTGAGCCCTTTAGTCAGCCTCCCAACCAATCTCCTGCATCCAGTCTCCTTCCTTCACACCCGTTCTCCAGCTGTGAGCAGGATGCTTAACGTCCTTCGGGTTCCCACCTCCATCACATGTCACGGCCCAGTGTCCCCTGGCTCTCTGGGTCCCTGGCCCAGCTCCAGCATCCTTTGGCTTTCCTCTTGCTCTGACCTCAGCTCCTCTGTCAGGTGCTTAAGTGACCAAACCCTCGTGCCTTTGGGCCTCTACTTTCACAGTGCTGTCTTCTCCTCAGGAGAGTGTTTCTGGTCCTCGGACATTAATTTGGTTTCACATACATGGAATCTTCTTGTATCCTAAGCTTTTGTTTCACTGCACTTTTTACAACTGAAATGAGATATTTAGGCAAATATTTGTTTAGTGCTAGTCTCTCCTTTCCAGGCTAAAAGAATCCTGACATAAGGATTCTTGCCTCTTAAGTGCTATAGCTCCTGTACCCAAATATATGTATTTCTGTATTAGATGCTTAATAAACTTATTGAAAGATCAAATGGACCTTGAAAAAGTTCCCAACTGGAACTTTTTACTGTGTGACTTTATTTATTTATTTGTTTGTTTGTTTGAGACAAGATCTCACTGTGTATTTTAGTCTGGCCTTGAACTCACTACATCATCCAGGCTGTCCTCAAATTAGCAGAAATCTTCCTGCCTCAGCCTCCCTTAACTTGGATTGTCAAGTATTTTGTCTTAGCCATATGTGACTGGAGCAAATAACTTTTGGGGCCTCAATGTGCCAAGTCCACAGATCTTGAACTCTTCTCCATAGTGCTAAACCAAATTTAGAATCTGTTAGGTGCCAAGCTTCTTGTTAAGCATTATATGCAAATGTGTTTGTCATTTTCAGAATAAAAGCTTAAGTAGAAAGTAAGGAAAATGGTAAAGGACTTTAGCTTGGGGAATCAACAAAGATTAGGTTGGTTCTTAATGAAGAAGAGTAAAAAAAAACTAGGAAAGACCCAGCTTGAGCAGCTGGAGTAGGGCACGCTCCAAAGAAGAACAGACTGACCCTACACAAGTGTTTCATTGGCATGATGTGTAACTATACATCACGATTTAAAACTTAATAGTTAAAAAATTACAGTCTTCACTGACAAAATATTTGTTATGTTCCATATAATGCACCTTTTCACTTGCTTGGGTTGATATTTGTCTTAGTTACTTTTCTCTCATTGCTGGGACAAAATATCTAACACCCAAAATGAGAGAAGGAAATGTTTATTTAGCTCATAGTTCATGGAGGTTTCCACCCATACTCAGCTGGCTCCAAGGCAGGGTGGCATGGCTGAGGGGCAGCCATTCATGGTGGCCACATACAAAAAGAGTGAAGGGGCACAGGGAAAAAGAATAAAACACGCCTTCTTCCCTCCCTTATAATGTATGCTGGCTCCACCCCTGGGCGGGTGCAGCACTCACACCACCAATCCCAGCACTAAACAAGGAACCAATCACAAACACTAGAATCAGCTGCCTCCTGTGACTGCATGAGGCTTAGGGCACCACCCAGACACAAACCAGAACAATATTAAAAGAGCTAAATTTTGTGCTTTTAGTATCAAATGCCCAGTGCTTTATATATGCTACAGTGCTGTTTAAAATATTGCTAATAAAATTAATAGCAACATTGTGGAAATATTTGAGACATTTGGCTACTGGGAGAAAAAAATCTCAGAGCACTTGACTAAAAATTCAGATAGCATTAGGCATTTTCAAGAAAATTGTATTGTTCCCATTAATCTTGACTCTCATCTTTGCTATTTAATAATAAAAAAAGAATTAGGATTAGGTCCATTTAGATATGAACTTATTAAACTAATACTATTTAAATCTAGAGGTAAATTTAGCATCCATACAATATGTTTTAATATATCAGTATAACCATTATACTAAAAAGTGGATTCATTCAGAATCTTCCCTAACACCAGGATTGGGAAGGGTCTACATCCAGGTTTAACGGCAGAATTCTTAGCTTCTTCAGAGTTCTGTGTTAGGATGCACTGGAGTGGGAAGAGCTGACTTAGGGCCCAGCCCTGGCTTAGTCTTGAACCTTCAAAACACTCAAGCACACTGGGTTTAAGCACCCCAATCACATCCACGTTCTGTCCACATCTGTGCAGTCATTTTCACACCCCTGCACCAGTCACCTGTGAGGTCTCCAGTTGGGCATAACAGCAGGGCAATCCATTGTGGGAAGCATGGGGCAGGAGCTTTTTAGTTTTGAGACAGGGTCTTGCTGTGTAGTTCAGATTGGCCTTGAACTCATTATGTAGCCTGTGCTGGCTTTGAACTCAGTGATCCTCCTGCCTCAGCCTCCTGAGTGCTGGGATTACAGGAATGGTGCTATAGGTGCCGGGAGGACCAGAGAAGGGCTTTCTAAAACAGTGGACTTGACTGTATTCTGTGGATAGCTGACATAAAAATATTGGAAGAACTTACACTAGGGTTGATAAAACAAAGTTTAGGCAAGGATGTGGAGAGTGTGGAACCCTTGTGCACAGCTGGTGGAAATGTAAAGCAGTATAGTTACGATGAAAAGCATGTTTCCTCAAAACATTAGAATTACTGTACCATCTAGCATTCTCTGTTCTGTGGATATATACAAAAAAGTTTGAAAGTAGGGTCTCCGGAAGATATTTGTATATTTGCATTCATAATAGTGTTATTCCTGAGAGCCTAAAGGTAGAAGCAACCAAGTGTTCATCTATACAGGACTCAGTAAAATGTGTTATATGTGTATAATACAGTATTATTTATCCTTCAAGGAGAAAAAACTCTGACGTCTACACAGTTGAACCTTGAGGACAATATGTTAAGTAAAATAAGCCAGATATCATGTTATTCCACTTATATAACAGGCTTAGGATGGTCAAGTCTTAAGAATGGTTGTTAGAGACACTGGAAGGAAAGGCTTAGGGGAAGTTGCTCTTTAATTGGGATAAAATTCAATTTTTCAAGGAGAAAAGAGTTCTGGAAATGGTTTGTGATGAACATTGCGCTCAGTGTGAATGTATTCAATTAACCCTACTGAACTATGCCCTTGTTGTTAAGGTGATACATTTTCTTGAGGCAGGATCTCACTGTGTAGCCCAGGCTGGCCTTGAACTCATGGCAATCTTTTCCCCTCAACCTCCTCAGTGTTGGGATTACAGGTATGTGCCACCATTCCTGGTCAGGTGGTAAATTTTGTCCTGTACTTTTTATCATGATTGAAAAAACACATTTAAAAATAAAATTTAAATCAAGGTTTAAAAGAAAATACAAACAGTGCATATTAACCTAATATTCTTTTTCTTCTTAAAAATGCAACAAACGAACAGCTAAATACAAGGTGTGATTAAAAAATAAGGTGAATTTGTTTAAATTTTTTAAAAATTTATCTTGGAAGAGACACCTTGCTATAAATCCCCCTCAAAATACTTTGAACACACTTATGTCATCTTCCTGCCATTTTCTGAAGCAGCTCTGGAACTCCTCTTTCGTGAGTGTCTAGTTGTGCTGTTGTGGCTGCCTCAATGTCCTGAATTTATGCAAAATGTTTACCTCTTGTCATCTTTCTGACTTTAGGGAAGAGCCAGAAGTCACGCAGTGCCAGCTTCAGTGAATGAGGTGGATGAGGACACACTGATATTTTTTTATTTGACAGACATGACTGTAAACAGGGGTGATCACAAATGCAGTGAATGTTTAAATTTAAAAATTCATATCATAGGAAAAGATGTATTACCATTGATGTCCCTTACAGTGCTCCATCTCACTTCAAACACTCATCCCATGATTCTTGGCAATGTGCCTTTTACTTCAGTGAGTTTTTTTTTTTTTTCTTTTTCGTTTTTATCGGTACCAGGGATTGAACTCATGACTGCCTGCTTGCAAGGCAGGCGCTTATGCCGCTGAGCTAAATCCCCAGCCCCTGCAGTGAGTTTTTTAAAAAAATTAAACATTCACCAGATTTGTCGATCAGCCCCGGTAAGGAAGCCACTGTGTCCTCTTAGCTCCGCGGAGCCCTGCACCTGAAACACTTCCTTTCTTTCCTCCACAGTGAATTCATCTTCATTGTACCTGTCACCTTTTGCCCTTAAGCCAGAAACAAAGGGCACAGATCAGGAGTGGTTCTCAGTGTCTGTCTTCTCTCCGAGCCACACTTTCATGTCCTTGACGATCCCATCTGCAATGGCTGACTGCACCTTGGCCTTGGCTAGACTTAACTGTGTTCAGCAGAACCTCTGTGTGTTCCAGGAGACCGAAGCTGGAAGCACAGATGGAGGAGCTGGCTATAGGGACACACTTATTATCACTGAAAGTGCTCCTGCTCTTTCTTTCCAGCTTGGTTCCCCAAGCATGGGGTGGGGGTGGGGGGTGAGTCAGACTGAAGATCCTCCTGGTGACTCACAGGCTTAGAGGGAAGACATCCACACTTCCCCAGGGGACTGGCACATCACTTCCTTTCAGATAGGTGTGGGCATACTGCGTTGCCAAGCACCCAGCAAGTAATGAGTTTCAGATCTTTGCTTCTGTTTGCCATGTGCCCAAGTGATGTGAGGCTGGCATGCGGAAGTCCGTGGTCGTGTGACAGATGGTGAGGAGGAGCACAGGGCAGCGGCTGGTGTTCTGCATCTGTGGAAACTTTCCATTGCTCACTGGTCAGGTGCTGATGCAGAAAGCCACACATTGTAGCAGTACTGTAAATACACTACTGCATATACTATTATTATCAATAATGAATAATAATCACGCACAACACAGTTTTTAGTGGTGTGGGCCTGCTGACACTGTGGCTGGCAGCTGAGGATAAAGGACCAGCTCTGGTGAGGTACAGGGGACAGCCCACCTGGGGCCGGCACAGGACACAGAGCAAGTCTGGGGTACAGAGGTCAGAATGACTGAGGCCGACTAGAAAAGTCGTATTGAGGTCTCACCTGTCTCACAATTGCCTCATAGCACTGATCTTTGCCTTATGACAATGGCAGTTGAATGGTTCTGCCCTTTGCCTAGAAAGGAAGTATTTTCATGTGTATGGTCATGTGTATGTCGGCTCAGAGCTCTGAAATACTCTCAGCCAACTGTGTCAGTGATGAATTTAGCATGTTCTTAGCTTCTAGTTTCTGGGGGTCTAGAAATGACACACAGCTTTGCTGAATTCACGGGCATGGGCCCTCCCATGGGACTGAAATCAAACAGTCAACCTGAGCTGGTGTCTTCTGGAGACTTGCTGCTGGGGGAAAACTGGCTTTCGAGTTCACTCATATGACAGTGGCAGCGTTCAGCTCCCTTCAGTCTTTGCAGGCTGTCAGCTCCTTGCCATGCGAGCCTCTATGGGGCGCTCGACACATGGAAACTTATGTCATCCAAGCAAGTGGGCAGAGGAGGAGGACAGAAGTCAGAGTCATTTTGTAACTTGGTTCTTGGGGTGACATCCCACTGGTGGTTAGTTTGGTTCATTAGGAGTGAGCCACTAGGCCTAGGCCATCCTTGCTGTAGCTTAGATCTAGAATGTTCCCAGAAGTCCTGTGCATTGAAGGCTTAGTCCCCAGATTGGTAGTATTGGAAGGTGTTGGGATCTTTCAGGGTGGGGCCTCATTCATTGGGGGTGCACCCCTGAAGGAGACTACAAGATTCCTGCTTGCCTTTTTTTTTTGTACTGGGGATCAAACTCATGACCTTGCACTCGCCAGGCAAGGGCTTGTGCCACTGAGCTAAATCCCTGCCCCTCCCCACCATCATCTCTTCATCTCTGTCGGCACGTGAGCAGTTTTGCTCCATTATACACCACCATGATGCCATGATGTGCTCCCTCGTCACAAGCCTGGAAGCAATGAAGCCAACCAACTGTGGACTCGAGCCACGGAAGCAGTGAGCCAAGATAAACCTTTGTGATTATCTCGGGTATTTGTTTTGTTGACAGAAAGCTGATTAACACAGGGACAGGTAGGGCTTGCAAAGGGGCATGAATCAAGAGGCAGAGTCAGTGGGAACCATTTTAGAAACTTCACAGTAATAACTTTGCTTTTTGACAATACTGGGTTGCAATGCCCATTCATATAGAAGGACACTAGTGCATGTTGCTCAGTCACAGAATCTTAAGATAATGACATTGGCCTAAGCCGTTTTTTGCTGGGCATGGTGGCACACACCTGTAAGCCCAGCATTCAGAAGGCTGAGGCAGAGGGATCACCATAAGTCTGAGGCCAGCCTGGGCTAAACAGTGAGTTCAAGGCCAATCTGAACTACATAGAAGATCCTGTTTCATCACACCCTGCCCCTCTACAAAAAGAGGAGAAAGATAGCAAACTGTTCTTATAGCAAACCACCCTGTGATGCTACTATAGATTTTTTTTTTAGTGCTGCAATCATCCTGACCCCAAATTCCTCCAGCTTCCATCTGAGTTTTACTCAGATGAGTCAAATAAATGCTCTTGGTTGCCACCAGAATCATAAAATGGCAGAGCTGTAAAAGAATTTCCCTTTTCACCCAGTCCAACTCTTTCTTTTTACAGTATGGGAACAGGCAGAGAGAGAAAGCAACTTGCTTATGAAAACACAGCTCATTATTAGTGTTGCTGGGGCTGTGTTAGATCTGGGAGAAACTAATATCAGGTTTTAGGGCACAGTTAAGCACACAGTCTCCCCTGAGGGGCCCAAGGCATGGGTGTGGATTAAGAAAACTAAGACAAAAGATAAGGCAAGAGGGGAAAAAAAGTGGAAAAGAAGAGGGAGAATTCTGAGAAAGAGCACTGCAAAGGAAGAGGAAGGTACAGACATATTCATGGCAGGTGCCACTGGGGGGCTCCCTGGCTTTCTGATTCACTGTTTTAATGCAGTGTCATTCTGATGGCATCTATCAAAACAATTAAACTTTTAGTGGCTGTGAATGGCAGGCAGTGTAGCAGCGGGTTAGGATGGAAGGCTATGGAATCCCATTCCCCAGGCTGGAGTCCCACCTCTGCTGCTGGCTGTGTGAACTCTGCAAGTTACTTAACCTGTCTTGCCTCATCTCTTGAAAGGGGGAAGACAACAGCACTCACTGCAAGAAACTGCAACCTGAAGGGCTTGCAACAGCCCCCGGCTCATGGAAAATTTCAGGACTCACCTATTCCCAGCCCTCCTGTGGGCAGAGATGGACTGAAGCATGGAGTAGGAATAGGAGGCGGAGGGATAAGGCCCAGTTAGAGGAAGAGTGGTAGGTGAGGAGGTGAGCTGTACATACCACTGGCACTGCAGCCAATTCGGAATGCCCTGTGTGTCACCAACAGAACGCAGTAGAAAGTCCTTCTGCCCACTTAGGCATCCTCCAATCTTTTCTGGGATCCTTCTTCCAGCCCCTCCTCCCCTGCTTCCTTTATTCCAGCTTCCCAGGTAGCAGCTGTCTGTCTCTCTGTGCCCCATCCCCCGGGAGACGGATCCCCAGCAGTGGAGGGCTGCAATGCAGTTGAAGCCATAAACTGGAAATTTAAAATAATTCTGTGTCCTTGCAACCACCACGGAGCATCAAACTTACTTAATTTTAATTCTCTGCTGTTAATGTGGTTCCCATTTCCCTCTGAAGAATTTTCCTCTTCTGGCTTTTTTTTTTTAAATTCAAGCATCAAACATCTGCTCTTCAAAGTGGAATTTGCCAAGTACTTATTAATGTCCTAAATCTGTCCAGTGTGGTAAGCTGACCCTCACAATCACCCTGGGTGATTCGACCTGCAGCGATGAGGAAAGCCACACCTGGAAAGCTGTCCCTTGCTTGATAGTCATGTACTCATCCTTCAACAACTCTGCGCACCTTTGTATCCTAAGTGGTCCCCAAGGTATCAGGACTGGCTGGGCCTCACCTCCTTCTCTCTCCATCCTGGTCTCATGGGCCAGGACTGGGCCCTAAGGAGGAAGGGGCATTCTAGAAGATGGCAAAGGAGTCAAGAAGGCAAGGGGTCTTTATGAGACCGTAACACAGCAACAAGCTGGCATGGAGAGCCAGGATAAGAAGGAATGACTTCCCCCACCTCACAGACTTGTCCTGCAGGATTCAAGGGACAGAACATGGTCAGGAAATCACTGAGGCAATTAAGCAGCTTTGGGGGTCCAATGGGCAGCCTCGGAGGAGGACATGGAAAGGACATACAGGGACACTCCAAGACTCCCAGCAAGGAGGGAGGGAGTTGAGGGGCTCAATCTGCTCACAGTGCGGATGATGCAGTGGTGCAAGTTGAGACATCACGGCTGTTTGAGGCTTCATTTGTATCAGTGGGAGATCAGGTCACACAGAAATAGGACAGATTGTTCTTAACGACGTGGAGCGAGGCATGCAGGCGGATGATTACAACACACAGGCCCTCAGGAAAGAACTTACTCGCCAAGGAGGTAACAATCAAGTTGAGGTTTTGAAGGATGATCAAGAATTTGCTGGGTGAACAAGAGATGGAAGGCCATTCTGGGCAGGAGGTCTCTCCCAGGCAGAGGCTGCTGTGAAAATTCTCTTCACTGGAGGAAGAAGAGGTGAGTCAGAGGCAGGTTGAAAAGCACACCAGGAGTCCTGGGGTTTATTTTTAGGTCACAGAGAACCAGTACAGATGTTCAAGTAGGAGTACCATGGACTCTTTTTCTTCTGATTTTGAAAGGTATTTCAGAGGGCTGTTTGGACAGTGAGTCCCCAGGTGAGTGGCAGTGGAGCCTGGACCAGCGTGGGGAGAGTGAGGGGAATGTGAGGTAACCCTAGCAAGGATTCAGGAGGCAGAGGGCCTCACCTGCTTAGTAAGGCTGGGTGGCTGGCAGGAGGGGAGAGCAAACAAGACTGCTTGCTGGCCAGCAGAATGAAGCAGGTCCAAGCGGTGAGTTCAAGTGGAGGTCAGAGCAGGGCACAGGGTCGTGAGCGTCTGGAGGGACGACCCCTTCCTTTTCCACTCCCCACTCCTGCCCCGAGGTCGGTGGTGGGTGGTGAGGCACTCGGCAAGTTTTCTTGACTCCAAGGAGAGAACCAGGGAAGCGAGGTTCCATTCCAGAGGAGCCAAGTGACAGGGCGAGCCTGTCGCGAGTGTCACACCAAGTGCACCCGGAGGGCTCACTGCCTGTGGGGGACCCAGGGACACTGGGCTGGGGCTGCAGCGGACCGCGCGGCATGCATGGGTTTCTCCAAATTAGCCAAAGCTAACAAACCCTGGTTAGTACTTAACTGGGGGGGGGGGGGCAAACTCCATAATACTCCCAAATCGGAACGTAAGTACATGTCAACGAGTTTGTTCTCAATGCCCACAGCGACAGACCACACGCTTGGTGAGGGGCGTGAGGGAAGGACGCTGGACAACACCACAAGCAAACAAAAAACACCCAGCCGCTGTCACCCGTCCCGACTGAGGTGTTGGGAAGACACCGAATGGGTTTTAAAAAAAAACCGGAGAGAAAGGGAAGACAGAGTCAGGGAGACGGGGGCTGAGGGGCAGATAACAGAAAGACACACACACACAGACAGACAGACAGAGACAGAGACAGAGACACAGAGAGAGAGAGGGAGAGAGAGACAGCGCAGACCTCCCCCGGAGCCTGAACTGAGCTCTGAGCATGGCATCTGGACGCCACCCACTTTCGGGAACGTCCTCGGTGCCGAATCCCGGGCGCCCCGCGCCCTCCCGCGCCCTCCCCACAGCGGCCGCGCAGGTGAGGCCGGCTCCGCGGGGCGCAGGCGGCCCAACCCGGGCGCAGGCGGCCTCCGCCGCAGGGGAGGGGGCGGCGGGGCGGGGCGGGCGGGCGGCGGGAGCGCGCGCCGGGCAGGGGGCGCGCGGCGCGGGCGGCTCGCCTCGCGGGGTCGCAGGCGGCGCGCGCCGCACTCCAAGCCTCAGACGCGCGGGCGGCGCGGCGCACAGCGCAGGGGCGGCCCGGCTGCGGCCGCTGGAGGCGACAGCCTCGTCACACGCGCGGAATACAGCTGCGCCGCGGGGTCCCGCACAGTCGCCCCCGGGCGGAGCGGCGGGCGCGGCGCGCGAGAACGTGAGTAGCCCGATGCGTGCCCGGCGGGGACGCTGGGTCAGGCGCGGGCGGCTCCTGTCAGGCGGCGTCGGCCTCAGGGCGCAGCGGCTCGCGGGCTCCCGCCGCTCCTCAGGCCCCCGACGCGGCCCCGGCGCCCTCGCGCCAACTTCTGCCCCCGCCGCTCCCGCGCTCCCCGGGAAGCCGGTCCGCAGGGCTCCGCGTCGTACCGCAGGCTGCCGGGCCGGCGCCCCGGCTTCCAGCGGGGACCCTGAAGGTGCGGGGCGCGACGCGGCGAGGGCGCCGGGCCGGGCGGAGGGCGCTCGGCGAGGGTCCGCCGGGTCCCCTGCGCGCTGGGCGTGGGCTTTGTTCAGATGCGCTAGCACCTGCGCGGATCCCGAGTTCGGGGGCGAGGCCGGGTCCTCCTCCGCTCTCGCCGCTCCGGAGTGGACTCCGACGCCAGAGAGGAGGACAGCGGGCCGGGGCGCGGGCGGGGGCTTTGTTGGTCTGCGAGTGCGGGCCCGGGAGTCCGCGCACCACACCCAGCCTCTGTGGACCGGGACTCGCGGGCTGGCGCGCCGGGCCGGGACTGCAGGGAAGAGGTCTTCCCCGGCGGCAGCTCCGCCGTGGGGCGCGGGCCGGGGTCAGGAGCGGACGCCCGCGCTGGCGCATCGTCCACCGCGCTGCCTGCGCCATCTGCGCCGGGCGCCGCCCCCGGCCCACGCCGCACGGGTGGACGCCCCGGCACCGCGGTCCTCAGCGGGCGTCTGCTCAGCTGCGCCAGCCTGCAGGGGGACCCGGGGTGCAGTGGGCGCGAGGAGAGGTGCCCCTGACCCAGGCCAGGCCCCTGTCCGCGGCAGCGCAGCGTCTCCTGTCCCCTCCCGCAGTCGCGGGCGCGGAGGGAGATCGCCAAGCGGTGGCGTCCCTTGCCTGCACTGTCTCTGTCTTGCTGCGTTAGTGGCTGGGGCGCCAGCTCTCTGCCACAGGAGGCGCAGAGAGGTCTAAAAGGGTCGAGGATGGTTGACGCCCTGAAGTGAGTGTGGGGTCCCCAGGAACAGAGGGAACAAGTGTCACAGGGTTTGGGCTCTGGTTCCGCACCAGGCTTTCCCCCTTGGGGTTGTTCTGACCCGGGGGAAAAAGTGGCCGCTGTATACGAACCATGGAGCCCGGCTACTTGGGTTGGGACTGCCTTATGCTAACCGTGCTCTGCTATGAAAACACTGCCTTAATGAGACCCACTCGAAGTGCTGAAACGGATGTTAATGGTAATGATAGTCCAAATGTTACGAAAGCTTCAGATGTGCCCGGCGCCAGGCACGCGGCACGTATTACCTCATTTAATTACAACAACAATCTCGTTAAAAAATTATGAGACAGAAGCTTAACTTAGGTCAGGTAACTTTCCCAAGGCCACCCAGCTAGGAACTAGTGGGGAGTGGTTTAGCTTTTTACTCTGGTACTTTGCCATACCAGACTCTGAAAATATGGCCTTTCATTAACTTAGGGAAAGCCTAGAATCTGAGTGTTTAAAACCAGTAGCATATCTTATAAACCCATTTAATTCTTGTGGATCTCACAGTGGTGGGCAATATTGTAATGAAGGGAATCGTGTTGTAGGAAAAAAATTACTCTCCTCTACTGGCCTTAGATCTTTTACATGTTCTTTTATTCCATGTGGCTTGTAAGTATGTTGGTGTTAACCTACAATCCAACCCAATACAGTCACTGAAGTGTTCCTACTAACCAGAGCCCCCTGCAGGTACAGGGAGATGTTCTTGGCACATCATAATTGTTTGTTTTTTTTTTTTTTTTTTTTTTTTTTTTTTTTTTTTGGTCTTTTTCCTTTTTATCGGTACCAGGGATCGAACTCACAACTGCACACTTGCAAGGCAGGTGCTTATGCTGCTGAGCTAAACCTCCAGCCCGGGCACATCATAATTTTAAGAAAACTTTTTTTTTTTTTTTAAGAAAAGGCAATGTTTAAATGCTTCTATTTCAGGACCCCAATCCTAAATATCCTTTTATATTATTTTGACTGTAGAAGAGTTATTCTTCACTTGGATGTAGAATGGAATAAGACAGCAGCATAGAAACTGGAACAGCATTCCATATCCTAAATACATGGCAATGTGTGGTGCGTATGCAAAGGTGCTTGACATTAGCCAGTGGTAAAGAAAAATTGAAACAACAGTGAGATCAGCTATTGCTGCCATGGCTTTTAGAATTATTAACCAATGTATTGGAAAAAATAGATTCATTTTGTATTCATAATCCCACAGACTCATAATCTTCTTGAAACCTTTGTTCTACTTTATTACAGGAAAGCTGCTAAACATTTTACATATGTCTGGAATGACAGAGGTAATATAGAACTCAGCCAACATTCTGACTGGCCCTTTGAGTTTCAGAAGGAGTGTGTCGAGGCTCAAAAGGGTGGCCCAGTCTCTCAGTACAGGATAGCGATGTGGTCTTTGAATAGGAATGCCAGGGCCGATACATGGTATCACTGTTTCACTGCAGGGATAGTAAATAAAAAGCAAGTCATTAATTTCCTGTGAGGCCCATGTGACTACGGTCACAGTAATAGTGGAGTGTAAGTGTTTAAAATGTATGTGAGCAGGCAGTCAGAGGGTATACACCTAGGTTGTAGAGAATTTCCTTAAGAATCACTTCAGATAATGCTTTTGTGTAGATACCATTTTCCTTGAATAGACTCTGTAGCTATGTTGTGTATTTGCAAGTGAGTTATTTAATGGAACGCCACAAACAGTTTTTCAGTAAGACATTCATTCATTCATAAATATTTACTGAGTATATGGCTTCCTCTTCTAGATTTTGGGGAGACTGTGGTGAGCAAAACAAAACTGTTTTTTGGGAGGTTAATTCTATTTTGTCACTCCTACACACATTTTCTTTTCTTTTTTTTTAAAACAGAAATGTACAGCTTGATGAACTTGCACAAATTGAACATGCTGGTACGACTAACTGGCCTCAAATCTTGAAACAGAATGTGACAGACCTTGGTGAAAGCCCCTTTATGGCCCTCAGCAGTCACTGTTCCCTTCAAGGGTGACCCCTGACACACCCACGCCAGTGCTCTCATCATGCACCATGCTGATTTGTAACATGCATCAGCAGCCTTGGAGATCTCACCACCATTCCAAAGAACAGTTTGTGTCTGAGCAGCATGGCAATCCAATGCAAGTGTAGCTGGCGTCCTGAGCTCCTAACAAGAGCAAGTTTTGTGTGTTTGGATCCAAGGGAAGATTAGCCCTTACCTGCTGAGATGATTGATTAAGAGGGAGTGGTTTGAAAATGAACATGCTTAAGTGCATGGAAGAAGTCTTTTTATTTTATTTAATTTTTTGAGGTCTTTTTATTTTAAATATCATGCTTTCCCCCGTGAATCTTCCTGGCAGGTGAGGACAGAGGTGACACTTAGATGCCAAGGGCAAGAATCTAGTGGCTTATTTTATTTAACCTTTTGTCAGCTCAGGCAAATGAGAAGCCACTTTGGTTTAAAGATTGGCTATTGGCTGGAGTGATTTCTGCCATCCCTTTATTGAAGCTTTATTGAGGTATAACTGACAAACAAAAAGTACATTTATTTAAGGCATGCAAATTAGTGTTTTGATATAGATATAGATTGTGAAATAATTACCATAATCCAACTAGTAATATATCCATCACCTCATATGTTGCTTATTCCATAGTGAGAACATTTCAGATATGTTGCCTTTGCAAATTTCAAGAATGCAGTCCAGTATTATTAACCATAGTCATCATGCTGTGTATTACATCTCTAAAATATGTTCCTCTTTCTTGACTGGAACTTTGCACCCTTTGACCAACATTTCCCCATTTCCCACCCACAACCTACACACCTGACACTAGGCCCTGAAACCCCATTCTACTTTCTGTGCTTATGAATTTGGTTAAAGGTTCAAAGAATTAAAAAAATGTACCCAAGTCAGTAATGATTGGTTTTCCCCGAATGGGAAAAAAATTGGTCTACATGAGGGAATAAAATTTGGAAATGGCTTTGCTTCCAGTTTTAGCACTTTAAATCCTCCACTATCAAGTTGTTTTTGAATGTAGGGACAAATGCAATATATTGATATAAAATATGATGTTATTGCCTGGCATGGTGGTGCACTCCTGTAATCCCAGCACTTGGGAGGCTGAGGCAGGAGGATTGTTGCAAGTTCAAGACCAGCCTGGGCTACAAATGAGTTCAAGGCCAGCCTGAACTGCATAGTGAGACCCTGTCTCAAAAAGACAAAAAAAGTTATTACTGACTCATTTTTTATTGTGATAAAACACATACCGTATAAAATTTGTACATTTTTCCATTTTAAAGGACTGTTGAGTCCTTTATGTGCAGCCATCACCACTCTCCATCTACAAAACATTTTTATCTCCCCAAATTGATACTCTGTGCCCACAAAACAATAATTTACCTCTCTCCCCCACCAGCTCCTGGCAACTGCCATTCTACTTTATGTCTCTATGAATTCTCCTACCCTTAGTACATCATATGATTGGTATCATACAGGCTTTGTCCTTATGTGACT